TTTTGGAGTGCTTTTCTTAAAGTGCTCTTTGTATAAAAATTCCTTATTTCTCCATCAATTTTTTTTCTCCATCAATTTTTAAAGATAGTTTTGCAGGATATATCAGTCTGGGTTGGAAGCTATTATCTTTTTTTTTTTTTGGTACCGGGAATCGAACTCAGGACCTTGCATTTGCCAGGCAGGGGTGGTACCACTGAGCTAAATCTCCAGTCCTGAAAGCTATTATCTTTTAGGGCTTAAAACACTTCACTCCAAGATCTCCTGCCCTATAAGGTTTGTGTTGAGAAGTCTGCTGTGATTTTAATGGGTTTACCTTTATAAGTGATTTGTTGCTTTTCTCACAGCTTTTATGATTCTGTCCTTGTGCTGGACTTTCAGAATTTTGGCTACGATGTGTCATGGAGAATTTTTGTTTGTGTTGCTGTTTGTTTGTTTGTTTGTTTGTTTGAGACAGTGTCTCACTTTATATCCAGGCTGGCTTTGAACTCACTATGTAGCCCAGGCTGGTCTCGAACTCATGATCCCCCTGCCTCAGCCTCCCAAGTGCTGGGATTACAGGTGTGCACCACCACACTCAGATTTTTCTGATCAAGGCTATTTGGGGTTCTCACTTATCTGTGTGTTAAATTTCTTCCCCATACTTGGAAAATTTTCTGCTATTATTTGTGTAAACAGGCTTTTTATGCCATTCAGGCTGTTTTTTGATTTTTCACTAATTTCAATAATCTTACATTTGTCTTCTTTGTGTCATCCAGCAGCTACTGTTCCATGATCCCTTGTTTTTAAGGCATCTCTGAGTATATAGTCACCTGCATCAGCCCTATCTTTTTGTTTTGATACTCTGTCCTCAACCGGTCAATTCTGCTGCCCATACTTATTTGTTTTAGACAGGGTCTCACTATGTAGCTCAGGCTGGCCTTGAACTCACCATGTAGCCCAGGCTAGCCCTGAATTTATGGTCATCCTCTTGCCTTAGCTTTCTGAGTGCTGGGATTATAGGCATGCACACCACACAAAGCTTTATTAGTGTCTTCTATAAATGCATTGATCACTTTATTAAGTCCATTATCTGTTTAGTTATATCTTCTTTGATTTCACCAAGCACCTTACTTATTGATCTGTTTTTCAATCTCATCAGTCATTTTGAATGCCTCAGCTGTGACTTATTTCCTGCCCCTACATGCCCCATAGATGGGCTTTGCGGGAGTTGGAAGTTTTTGAAGAAGGTGGAGGGGGTGTGGGTGTGGGTGGATATGTGTGTATGTTGAGATTTATGGGATTTAGCTCAGTGGTTTCACCACCTGCTGCGCAAGCACAAGGACTGGAGTTCAATCCCTGTTACCTAAAAGGTAATGGGGATTTTCTTTTTTTAGCAAAAAGAAAAAAGAAAAAAAAAATTCAACAGTAATAGCATAGAGTTAATTATCTAAAGATTAACAAAGCTTAATTGTTATACTAGTAAAGACAAAGGGGGTGGGAACAGAAGAATGAAAAAAGTAAAATTTGAAAAATTAAGCAGTGGAAGATGAGAAAAAGAAAAGTGAAATAGAGGATCTCGTTAAGCAGTAAAAGGAAATTAATAGAATTAGATAAAATAACAGAAAAGAATAAAAAGAAAAACAGCAAAAAAGAAAAAGAGAATGACAAGGGAAATAAAACCCAAACTCCAAAGAACTAATAAAGAAAAAAAAATTAGCCCCAAAAATATTCTGTAATTTTGAGTCATTTCTTTCCAGGCTCTGCAATCTTGGAATCTAGCAAGCCAGTTGTCTCTGCCTACCTTTATGGCCTGTGGATTTGTGATGTGCTCCCTAATCCCCACTGGAGGCCCCTCTGTCTGGACACTCTAGGCTATGACAACTATCCTAGCCAAGAGATGTCCTTGCTCACATTGGTAGATGGGGAAAGTAATCAGGGCTGGGGATTTACCTCAGTGGTTCCACCGCCTGCCTTGAAAGTACAAGGTCCCGAGTTCGATCCCTGGTACCAAAAAAAAAGAAAAAAAGAAAGTAATCAGACCACTGATCTCTGTGCTAGATTTAGGCAGGGAGTGGGGGTTCAAGCAGATTGCTGGATTTAATACCAGCACTTTCAGATCCAGCCACCCCTGAAAGCCACGCATGCTGGGCCTGACTTTTCACCATGGAAAATGGGGCCCTGCCTTCTCAGCCTGAGCTGAAACTTCTCAAAAAATTCTGAGTCTAGTTTACACCCTCTCCACATGTGCCTTTGTGGCTGTCTCTCACTCAGTCACTGTGAAACAGTAACACTGGAAACCCTGAAGTTGTTTCATAGTTGTTCTGTTGCTCAGCCTTAAACAATTAAAACCTTCCCAAAATGGTTCCCGTCTTAGTTACTTTTCTTGTTGCTAAGACAAAATATCTGACACCCAAAGTTAAAGGAGGAAAGGTTTATTTGGCTTACAGTTTGTAGAAGTTTCGGTTCATAGTTGGCTATCTCCAAGGCAGGGTGGTATGGCAGAGCAGGATTACAGAGGAGAAATAGTTCATGGCAGGCAGAAATCCCCAAGATAGCAAGCTCTAAGTGACAAGACAATCAGGGACCTTCTCTGTATCCCTCATATCCAGGCTACCTGCTCTTAGGGCAAGTAGCATTCATACCCAAGGTAGGGCACCCTTGATCCTACCCAGAACTATGCCAAGCCAATCAGTGGGCTAATTTAGTAACCACATACCGTTAATCCCAGAATCACAC